TCGCGCTGTCTTTCGAGCTGAAGACACAAGAACGAGCCAACGGATGCTGCGTGAGAAAGTTCGTGGCATTTATTGTAGACCTGTGGGAGATTCTGAGTGGCATTCTGCGGGAAGTGGTGGCAGCAAAAGATGATGACGCATTGTGTCTTAATCAGGCCCATACGCTACCTGCGCTTGTGGACGACGTCATGTCGATTGTGTATAGACAGAGCCGCTTTGGTGAGACCCGAGCAAAGATCTCTGCGCTATTACTCGATCTACGGACGCCCAGCTCCTTAACTGGCGCAGTAAACAGAGCTTTCCGAGTGTTTACGGCACAGTTCCAAGATGTAGTGGGCCTTCGCCAGCAACTAACACGTGGCTCTAGTAACCAGACGGAGCGTCAATGGTGTCGTCGTTGGCTCTTAGAGCCTGGCTCTTTGCAAGTTGTGGAGGTGGCATCAGGAGCAAGTTTCTCGAGTTCTCTGCTGAGTTTGGCGCAGCTGGTCCGCGAGTTAGGCTGCGTTGACGTTAAAGTAGCCCAAGGCGCAATGGCATTGCAAGCGGCTGTTGCACTTCTGACGACTGCACCTATGGAATTGCTGCTAGATGGGAGACTTCGCGTGTTTCGAGCGCTGCCTAGTGGGACCTCATCGAGATTACCAATCGGAGGATGGTCAGTTGGTGATTACTGCGCCACGCTCTCTCATAACGGCCTATCCATCGACGTGCATTTCTTCGCTTTCGACGAACGTGGTGGCAACAGTGGAGTAAGTTCGAAGATGAACGTTCGCCGAGTCAGTCTCTCTTTAGCGCTGGATGATACGGAGACGAGGGACCAGTTCATTATTGTTCAAGGAAATGTGTGCAGACCGAAGGACGATGGGCAAGAGGATCGTGTTGGTGGCTTGAACATGTCGAACTCCGATCGAGCAATGTTGTGGAATCAGTTGGACTGGACGCCGATTCTCGAAATTCAGGCGGGCTACGTCGCTTTATGACGCCGAGCTTTTATAATTTGTATTGCTTTAAAATCTAAAGGGGCTTTTTAACCCCTTGGGACCCGTGGCCTGGACCGTACATGTTACGTGAAAAATCTTAACGTGGACCGTACAAGTTAGATAATATTGTACTTAGTTTTTGTATGCGCAAATACAAACTTCATGTCAACAAGGGGTAGGTAATTATCCACACTTCCTGCAGAATCGACATAAATATGCGCTTAAGAAAAGCCAAATTTTCAAAGCATTTGAGAGCGAGCTGATGGATGGATATAAATGTTTGCTTGTACAGCATCACCGAAGCGAGGAAAGGCACAACACCAGCCTTTAGACACAAAACAAAAACTAGAGGGACCGATCCGGCTGTAGTGTTTGCATTGCGTGACTCCTAAGCAGAGAATTTAGCTAAAACGCCTCGTGAGGCGGAAAGAGATCGGCATTTGTTATCGACGTAAGTGTCAGCGCAGCTGCAAGTACTTCCTGCTCTGGAACTGTTGCTCTCGATGA